CCCCCCCCCCCCCAAAAAAAAACATCTCGCCTTTCTTTATCTTTCCTGCAAACCTTTCAAAATCAAAATGAGGTATATTTGTTTGACAAAATTTTAACAATAGAGCAGAGGTTATCTAGAAATAATGAATATTGTACCACAAACAGTATCTTAGTCGATAAAATCTGCCACAAACAGTATCTTTGTCCAAAACAGCTGCCACAAACAGTATCTTAGTCGGTAAAATCTGCCACAAACAGTATCTTAGTCCAAAACATCTGCCACAAAGAGTATCTTAGTCGATAAAATCTGCCACAAACAGTATCTTAGTCCAAATCATCTGCCTCAAATAGTATCTTACTAGCAGGGGTGTATATTAGTTGTGAAACTCATATTCTTGCCCCCCCCAAATCATCAACTTAAAAACATGTTTCTGAAGCCCGCGCAAACTTCGAAGAAAATTTTTGGATTTTAGTACCATAATGGAGCGTTTTAGTGCCCTAAAAAGGTCAACTTCAAGGTCCCTCCTCTGTTTTTTTTAAGTATTTCTGAAATTGTTTTTAACTTTGTTTTTTTTTGTGGTTTTTTCTTCCCTTTTCCCCCTTATCCCTTCCCTCTTGCCCCTATTCCCCCTTTTCCTTTCCCTCTTTCCCATCCCTATTCCCATTTTTTCCTTCCCACTTCCCCTTGTCCCTTAACCCCTTCCCCCTTTTCTCTTTCCCTTTTCTCTTCCCCGTACTTTCCCCTTCCCTTTCCCCTTCCCTTTTTCCTTTTCCCCTTCCCTTCCCCCCTTTCTCCATTTTTCTTCATTTTTTCCCACAAACTCAATGAAAAATATTTTTGGGGGTCCCCTCCTTGGCAACATTGCTCCCACCCCTTAAAAACACCTGTTTTAAAAAATATTGATACCTTTTTTAAATTTTTTTTTTCCAGGGGGGCTCAGCACCCGTTGGGGCATGAAAACCCCCTGAAATTAATAGATTTCACTGGTCCAAGGGGGACTTAGCCCCAATAGCCCCTCCCCCATAATACACCTCTGATTAGTAGTGAAACTTAATCGTTTGATTATAATTCCTTTAAAATCCACATAACAAAACAAAGTTAAAATATTTCTTACCCAAAATTAGTGGAATATCTCGCAAAAGCTCTATATCTGGACACAGACCGTCCAAGCTACGAAAATAGTAAATCCGCGAATTCATTGATTCTGAAAACTTATGAATAATGCGCACTAGTATAAATTTACATAGAATCAAAATGTTAAGTACCGTATGGCAATTGTAAACTCATAGTAATGTTGTGTTTGACAAGTTAAAATAACTAATTTTGAGTAATCAAATTTTCATAAAAAATACTCCTTGGGCGTCACCAGGAACATGTTAAATATGCTTGGCAATAACTATGGACATTAGAAAAGACTCAAGAAAATTATTTAAAAAGAGAATTAGTTTTCATTTTCTTCCGCATGTGTTCTGTTTTTAATTTGTTGTCTTGCATCCAATCAGGAAGACGACGTGTTTTAGCTCCAGTACTTTTAGACTGTTGAACCACGCTATAGGCCGGTTCGTTAGTACTCAACGGATCAACTACAGGTTCCGTCAGCGTTGTGTTGGATCGGTCTAGTAGAATCGGAGATCTGGGTTTGAATGCAAACTTCTTGAGTTTCTCTGCAGAACCTGTTGAGTTCTCCGGGCAGGGTTGAGGAGCAGGAATGTGAGAGATCTGATCTCTACTGGAAGACGGATGAACCATGTCTAAGATTACAAATTGTTTTTAAGATGATGAAAATAAGATATCTCATTTAATTTACTCTCTGGGTATGCGTTTTTTAGAAAACTCCCAAATCCACTTATCTGAAAAATAATTGACCAACTATTTAAGGGCGTATATATTTTCTCGACAATAAACTTAGTTTTAACTTTTCAGCGCACAAGTGGCATTTTTCACCCCCCTAAAAGAATATATGACGGTTTAATAGCAAAAATGTTTACTTGAACTACTTGAGGAAATGGAATGTAGTGAAGCACTCTCTGAATCAGAGCCCCCCTGTACTCTGGTATCAGAGCCCCCTTGTATTCTGGTATCAGGAGTCTGGTATGTTTTGTATTCATCTTCGCTCCATTGCAGAACTCCCTCTGGGGTTGCTCCATGCGCCGCCTTAAAAGGGTGTTCATAAATTTTCACAAGCAGTGCCCAGAATCACTAATAGTATGCGGATTCAAATGGAAAACCATCAATCAAATCATAAATAGAAACGTTATATGCTCAAGTGTTAGGTTGTAAACTAATGAAAGAGAACGAAAATTTCGAAAGTTTCTTTAGATCCTAATCCGCATCAAAACGGAATGGATCCTTATCACTGTTTAAAAGGTATGACAATCCAGAGACCTGACTCCATCAATCTTATTTCTATTTGATGTTTCTTCACAGAATACTTATATCAATCCACCGATACAAATCGTAAAATTGGTTAATAATATCAATTTTTACCTTAATTATGGTTCATAGTAAACCTTTCTTAGAAATATATTAACTTCTTTGTGAGTTTAAAGGAATTACATTTCTGCCACAAACTGTGATTTTCCAATATCTTGATCATTGCAACCTAATGTAATAGACCGTAGATATTTCAAAATATGAATTCTGTTAGATCAAATAATGTAAGTTTGAAATATCGAAGGTTTACACCATCAGGTTCCGCAAAGATACAGATATTAGATAATTGTAGTTTGTGCAAAGACTCAATTTCTTTATTAAAATGTTGTATGAATAATACCGCAAACCTTGAGACGGGCAACAATAAGTCGAATATGACCGTAATCTACATGTCCGAGATCTTGATTCTCCAGTTCAGTCTTTATAGGGCTCATTCTAAAATATTGATCCAATGATTAAGATTTCAAAGGAGTGTAATAGATTGATGGGATCCAGAAAATCAATACTATGGATGGATTTGATGAGAAATAAGATCTGCCCCCCCCCCTAAATTTATCACTTAACTCCATCACAGCTAACTAAATCAATAATCACAGCATCATTAAAAATTATATTTTCACTAATAAACGAAATTTCTTCTGAAACTTTTAGATAGAATTTAATCAATCTAAATATTCACAAAGTTACCAACTCTTTTAAGCTTTTATTTTCTGGGATTTGCTTGCACAAACATTTCAATGATTTTCTCAGTAGAAAGCTCAGACAGCCTTTCAGGGTGTAAGGCTATAAGTACAAGATCGTTAAAGGGAGTGACCGGCTATTTAAGGTAGTTGATCTGAGTATACAGTGTTGTGAAAAACTTCTTTCGGATTCATTTGAGACATATAACACTTTTTAAAGATCTGTAAATCCTGAGTTTGAGAGCAAATTCGACGTTCAAAACTCCTTATTTGGGTGGATAAGTTTTCAGAATTAGTTTTTTTAAATTATTAAATAACGAAAAATGTAAAAAAAAGTTCTACAATAAACTACAGACGTCATGAATAGGAACATGTTGAGAAAATAAAAATTAATCTTATCATCTAAAATAAGTAATCTTGTTCAATAATTAGTTTATATTTTCTCATTAGTATGGTTTCTCATTATTCACAAAGATTTTCGCAGATTTTTGAGAATTATTATTGAAAAGACGACATTTGAAGAATTTAAAGAAATCTGCGAATAAATTCAAAGAAGATATGAAATTCAATATAATAATGAAAACGAAATAATCGATTTTAACATTGATTTATTGACAAATTTCTTTTGAGAAATATGTTCCTAACCATCTAATTAGATCACTGTAAAATTTTTACTTTAATTTTCGTTGTCCTTATTTAATAATTTAAAAAAAAACTAATTCTGAAAACGTATCCACCCTCAAAGTAGGAGTTTTGAACGTCGAATTTGCGTTCAAACTCAGGATTTACAGATCTTTAAAAAGTTTAATATGTCTCCGTCATAGTACATCTTTGTTAAAATAAATTCGAAATATAAGTAAGACGATTTTTCCGACTCAAATGTGTACTCAAATCCATTTCCTCCATGTAGTGCCCACATGTCAAATCTCCGCTCACCTTAGCTCCCGCTTCACCCGGCAGTCAGCTATAAACACTCAAGGTATTCACAACTCCGTCTCAACCCTGGCTCCTCCATGATGATGATGCAGATACTCAGCGCAACGCACCTGTTGATCTGCCCCACCAACATGAAGCTCTACATCACCCCCCCCATGACTCCTTCAGGCTGATGATGCAGATACTGAACTAACAGCAGGCGTGCTTATACTTCTGATCTCCCTATTAACTTCTTGAGAAGCTTACTTAGGAAACTTGTGCACGGCTCTGACCGAAGTTTCCGCTATCTCGAGTTGCCTTGCCTTCGATCCATTGATAAGCCCTGTTGTCCCAGTTCCCGGATCTGCTCCACCAACATGAAGCTCTACAACACTTCCATGAAGCACCATCTAATGTCCATCATTTATTCCTTTTTGTTAATTTCTAAATCAACCAATTTTAACTCCGCCTTAAATGCAAATATTTCAAAACACTCGTTTTTTTTAAATAAATGTTAGAAATATCCATTTTAGATCTCTTTATTTTATTATAGTGACTTTTCAAGTCAACAATCTTGTGTAATGAAGTATTATCTTTAGAAGGCTAAAACTTTTCTCTCCTTGTATTAACAGTGAATTTAGACAAATCCTTAGTCTTTGTCATTGTCAGGTGTTACTTTTTAAACTTTTAATTTTGTATTTTCCAGAGGGGGCAGGGTATCTTATAATAGTATTTAAGTATGGAAATAGAATTAATCCCCTTTTCTACCTGGATACATCTGAGCTGATGGGAGGGTTGAAAATAACTTGTGAAACTAAGGAGAACATCTTCCTTGAGACTCCAAGTAGTTCTATATCTAGCTCTAGCCCTGCCTCAATACAGTCAGCCAGATGACCGGACAGGGTGGACACCTGTAAGAAATCCTTTTATATAAAGAGCTAAGATGCAATGATGTATGTCTTACTTTGGTGTGTCCTAATAAGTACGTTTTCTATGTGTGTACTCGACGTGCTTTCTCAAAATGCGTCCTTAATACATGTGCGTCCTCAGTTTGTGTCCTCAATGTGTGCCCTCAATGTGTGCCCTCAATGTGTGTCCTCAATGTGTGTCCCCAACGTGTGTCCCCGACGTGTGTCCTCAATGTGTGTCTTCAATGTCTGTCTTCAATGTCTGTCTTCAATGTGTGTCCTCAATGTGTGTCTTCAATGTCTGTCTTCAATGTGTGTCCTCAATGTGTTTCCTCAATGTGCGTCCTTAATTTGCGTTTTTAATATCCGTCCTTAATATGCGTCCTCAATATGAGTCCTCGACATACGCCCTCCACTGTGCTTCAACCATACACGTTCTTATTAAGCGTCCATCATATACGTCCTTATTATGTGTCAATTATATGCGTTCTAAATGCATTTATTTAATGTAGTTCCTCGATGTGCCTCCAAAATATAAGTAATAATTATTAGGGATGTTTAATTGGTATGTCCTCATTTGCAACAGAGAATGTTGAATGTTAATCAATGTTGCCAGTTTTGTTTTGTAGTTTTAAATAAAATGTTAAAAAATAAAAACCTTAAATCCTCTGGCTGCAGCAACTTGATCAATATTCTTCTTCTCCACGAACATCAAGTAGGTTGTGAGGATGGTTTGAGAGAGACCAGATCTCTGAAGAGTCTCATCCGTGCTCAGCTCCTCCGGAAATTCGTCCCGCTTGAGATTAACATGCTGGGAAGCAAACTTTGAGATTACTTTGAGAAAATTATCTCCGTACCTAGCCACCTTAGCCTCGGAGAAACCTTGAACCCGTTTCAGGTTTGCTAGACTAGAAGGTCTGGTTTCAGCAAGCTGAAGCATTGCTTGCTCTGTGATAACCATATATGGCGGGATAGAGTGTAGAACTGCAAGCTTGTGTCGCTCAGATACTAACATGTTGTACAGATCAATCCGCAGAGAATCCTCCGGAGTTCGGTCCATACCAAACCTAGGAGTTATCACGGTAGCCTTGGGTTTAATCTTGGTCTCCAACAAGTCTCCTACTACCTTGAGCATTAAGGGATCTGTAGAGTTCAACAACTTGTTTCCTGTCTTACTGATGGAACAACCCATATAGGCAAACCCTCGCTTCCCTCCCTGATCACCCATGTGATGTTTCATCTCCTAAAATATTCAGTTCTAACCATTCATTCTGAATCTGATGTTTGATATTTTCGTAAAGAGTGTCCAAAAAGCATGGGGATTGAGTGACTACTTCAAGACCATCTTTGTTTTAACAATTATAATTGAAATATCTAATTTCAAAAGACATAACAAAGTTACGTCTACTGAAGTATTTTTTATCTAGCTGCCAGACTGAACGATTTGTCTGTAATATTTCTCCTGAATGAACACTAAACAGTGAAGAACAAACTGTACATTGTTTGTTTAGAAAAATCTTCTGGTTTTAAAACAGAACAATACAACAATATGCAATCAAATCCAAATAAATTCCAGCAAACGAAACATTACAGCTATCTTAATAAGCATCCCCATACTAAATTAAAAAACATTTAAACAAACGTGACCATTTAAAGTATTCCCATTTTTATCAGTGACACCCTGTACTAAGTAACTCCACCTTTATATGCCCGGAGGAGATGAGGGTCCGACCCAGTGCTGTCCAATATTTCACAGATTTTCCTTTCCCTGCTCCAAATACTTTATCCTGCTGCCATCTGTCCCAAATATTCTTATCCTTCATGCCGCGAACTACCTAAACTCAAAACAAATCTATGAATTTGTGTTTTTGACTCATCTGTAACTATTTTCCAACCTTGACACTAGTTCCCAGTCCTCTCTGATTTCCAACAATCTCCAGGGCATTGAGAAGGAGTCTGGCATCCTCGCCGAAGTCTTGCTCCGTATCCTCCGATGTCGGAGTGTCCGCGCTTATGCCAAGTTTACCTCCCTGATAATCAATAATTAAAAACGATATTCAAAATGCCATCTTAAAAATATCTCTCCACCCTTTTTTAAGATTTTGCAATTAAATTATAAATAAAATATTAAGTGAAAAATAAACAAATTTTTGGGTACAAAGTACAACTTGCAATTTGATGTCCTATCTTTCATCTGCACGCCCCCCCCCCCCCCGCTAATCGCCATCTTGCCGTTGTCCGGTTTAAGCAAAATCGTGTTTTTGATTAAAGTTTCCTTAAGTAGATGACGAGTACAGTTATCACAGCAGTTTCGAGCTCTTACTAGTCCCAAACTTGTCCCAGTACTTCCTAGTAAATATGTCGTAAAAATTTAGAAAAGTAAAATAAAATGATTAAACAAAGCAAAAATACTTCCACTCCTGGAAAATGTCATCAAATCTCTCTGTTATCCAGTTCAAAATATCCGGAGGTTTATCTCCTACCTGGTTCAAAATATCCTGAGGTTTATCTCCTACCTGGTTCAAAATATCCGGAGGTTTATCTCCTACCTTGTTCAAAATATACTGAGGTTTATCTCCTACCTTGTTCAAAATATCCGGAGATTTATCTCCTACCTGGTTCAAAATATTCTGAGGTTTATCTCCTACCTGGTTCAAAATATCCGGAGGTGTATCTCCTACCTGGTTCAAAATATCCGGAGGTGTATCTCCTACCTGGTTCAAAATATCCTGAGGTGTATCTCCTACCTGGTTCAAAATATTCAGAGGTGTATCTCCTACCTGGTTCAAAATATCCTAAGGTGTATCTCCTACCTGGTTCAAAATATCCGGAGGTGTATCTCCTACCTGGTTCAAAATATTCAAAGGTTTATCTCCTACCTGGTTCAAAATATCCGGAGGTGTAACTCCTACCTGGTTCAAAATATCCTGACGTTTATCTCCCACCTGGTTCAAATGTATTTCCTACCTGGTTCAAAATATCCTGAGATTTATCTCCTACCTGGTTCAAAATATCCGGAGGTGTATCTCCTACCTAGTTTAAAATATCCTGAGGTGTATCTCCCACCTGGTTCAAAATATCCTGAGGTTTCTCTCCTACCTGGTTCAAAATATCAAGAGGTATATCTCCTACCTGGTTCAAAATGTGAGAGGAGTTGAACCCTACGACACTTCTCCGTATACCCTAGGAACAGCTCCATCTGATGAATCATCTCCGCTCTGTGCTCTCTCCAGGCAGAGTCGGAGTTCTCCACAAGAAAATGACGATGGGTGCTGAAGTCTAATCAGAAAAATTAAAAACCTCAAAAAAGCCGTTAGTAGTATAAATAATGTATTTACTTTTCTAAAAGTCACCCTCCCGTTTTTTTAATAAAAATGTCTTCTTTCCATGGATTTTTTTTAGTTTCTATGACTGGAGATGTAATTAGTATTTCAAATACAACTTAAGTTTTTTCTTTTTTTTTCTGGTAGTTGCCCCCCCCCCCCCCCCCCAAAAAAAAAAATGTACCCAAAAAAACAAAGTTAGATGTAAAGAAAATAAACATGCAAAAGATCATTTAAGTTGGATATTTATCATTCTTTAAATAATCCTTTTCACCTGCAGGGGCAAAATATATTCTACAAGATGAATTCAATCCATCTCTCCCAGCTCTACCAATCTCCTGAAATTAAGATTAAATATCATGCTAAGTTACTTATCTTGCTAACCCTGCAATCCATAGAAAAAGTTTTTGAAACACGTTTCAATTATAAAAAAGAATTTTTTTAATTTTTAAATTGTTTATCTCTGAACATGAGCCCTGAAAATTTTCAGATCTATTAGGAATGCCAAGAAAAGTAGAAAGCCAAATGTTCGAGAACCCGAACCGCCCTCGGGTCAGCGCACTCATATTAATAGTTAAAATTATAAAATCTCTCGCTCTATTTCTGAGTAAAAGCTTAGTATTGATTATGACTGCCGATAAAATATGAATATATGACCTGATAATAAGATTCCATATCTCGAGGAGCTCCCCAATGAATGACACAACGAACATCTGGTTTATCTATACCCATACCGAAGGCAATTGTAGCAACCACGACTTGAATATCGTCGTACACGAAGGCCTTGTGAGTTTCCTAGATTAAATCAAATCAAATCTAACAAATTCTTTTGATGAAGTACAATTAATCTACTCATCTCACCTTCCTAGCCGCCTGTGTACAATTAATCTACTCATCTCACCTTCCTAGCCGCCTGTGTACAATTAATCTACTCTTCTCACCTTCCTAGCCGCCTTGTACAATTAATCTACTCTTCTAACCTTCCTAGCCGGCTGTGTACAATTAATCTACTCTTCTCACCTTCCTAGCCGCCTGTGTACAATTAATCTACTCTTCTCACCTTCCTAGCCGCCTGTGTACAATTAATCTACTCTTCTCACCTTCCTAGCCGCCTGTGTACAATTAATCTACTCTTCTCACCTTCCTAGCAGCCTGTGACAACCCAGCATGATACATCCCGCATTTTATACCATGTGCCTCTAGTTCCCGAGCAACCAGTTCAACATCCTTCCGTCTAATCAAACATTCAAAATAATCTCAATTCTACCCTCAAAAGGTATATATTTTTAAAATAACTCTTTCTCTTAAAAACAGGATAAGGTTTATAGGAAATTAAAGCTTTTAACCGATAAAAATCTTAACGGCTGAATATATTATTGCTGTTATTGTGTGAATTAGCCTAATTTCGACAAATATTTTCGTGAGGATTCAAACAAGATGAAAAAATGAAAAATAAGTATTTTAAAACTAAGAAACCAAGAAGTTCTGAACCAAAAATCGTTATTGGTCATAAAACCCGGCATCAGAAACCGGGTTACAGATAATTGTACTGCATCAGGCAGATATCAATTTATTAATGCAAAGAAGTTTTACTTTAATTGTTTATTTTTCTTTTCTTTTTTTCATTCAACTTTATAGATTAAAATCTACACAAAGATAAAAAACCCAAAACGGCAAGTCGGGAGTTCCTTCAACTCCTTCAACAATAATATTGTCACTTTTAAGCTCTGGACAGTGCACTGTGAAGATCGGAGAGGAATGTGTTGATACTGACCTCGGACAGTAAATGATGGTTGGACCTGGGAACCTCCTCTCATCTCCAGGGTTCATCGGTGGTTCAAGCATCTGGGATACATCGTACCAAGCTCCGGTCTTCGGTCGAACCTTGAGATAAGGATTTACTAATTGATGGCTTAATGTTGCAAAAGATGAAGAAAGCACACATCATTTTTTTTTGTCTAATGAGAGATCTCAAATCAAATAATATTTAATGTAAGTGGAAACGTCAGTAGGGGCGTACTCAGAAGGAGGGGGGGGGGGCTATAGGCCCTCAGCCCCCCCTGGAGGAGAAAAACCAATGGTTTTATATATATGTCACCTCCAGGTAAAGATTTGCCCTGTTGAACGATGTTCTTGTAATCTGAGGATTCGTCATCTTTAAAACCTAAAAATATAATAAAGGGATTATTCTTTAAAATGATACGTTTCACATTGATATATAGGGTCTGTTTCTAGAGAGCGATTATTGCCCCCCNTACAAAATTGATAGGAGAGCGGGGGAGGGGGGGGGTCCAAAAATCGTATACTAGGACAGACCCACAAACTGAGACTGAGTATTTCAAAGTGATGACTTTATAGGAGTTGTACAATGTACACAAATATAGAGAAACTATTAGTTTGAAAAAACGGGCAAAAATGACCGCTATGCTGCAAATTTATTTCGCCATGTTTATCACCCAATGCAGCCAAAATCTGAGCTATATTTTGCCAATTTATTTCGCCATGTTTATACCCGGATGTAGCGCAAATCTGCCCAAAATGTTGTCAATTTTATTTCGCAATGTTTGAACTGCTTGCGCTTGCGCATGTTTTAACGCAGCGCAAATCTGGATAATATGTTGCCAATTTATTTCGCAATGTTAAAACTGCACTTGTGCGACAAATTTGCACTAAATGTTGCCAAATTATTTCACCATGTTTAGTGTTAGAACTACTCTTGTGAGACAAATCTACGCTAATTGTTGCAAATTTATTGTTTTAACTACACTGTATAACGATTAAGACCAAAAATAAAGAACAAAAGAAAGTAAATCCTAATGATCATGCCCAAATCTTATTAATGAATAAGCCTTTACGTAAATTTTAATAATTTAAAACATTTTTAAAAACAAGTAAAAGTTCAAATAAGATTATTACTTTATAATTGTGATCACTAAAAAATCATGTATTGAAAAAGACGATTAAAATGTCGTCAATAGTTGTCTTATATATTGGGACATCCAGTACATACCTGACATATATCCTTCTGAACTTGTGGAGTAGCTGTAGCGGTGAGAGCAATTATGGGAACGCCAGGGAAATTTAATTTGATCTTACTTAGCAATCATTCAATAAGCCGAGAAAATAGTAATTTTATAACGACGTCATTGATTCTTTAATTTTAATCAAATAACTTCAGTCTTATTTCATTTAGTTACTTTAAATTACAATATTCCCGCATTCATTCGTTAAAGAACCCGTGTCAAGTAAGACATTTTGTAATATCTCTTTCAATATTAATAGCAGCCGGTTCTATTTTTGAACGTAGACTCATATAATTTGTTAGGAGCAGGATATGAAGTCAAATTGTCGATATCTCTTTCCGGAGTCTTGGAACCTCTGAAAAGTGACCTCCGTCGGCTCCGATTTTTTATCTCCGGCCTCGTTGGACATAAATAGCCCATTTTTTAAATATATACTCCCTATATATATCCTTCTGTTATTACCAGTTTTCTTTCCGTTCTTTCCCATGTTTCTTTTTCTTCCGATATGTTTACTTCCCTTCGTTTTGTTCTTTCCTTCAAAAAAGCTTCTTTGCTTTTGTTCGGTTCCTTAACTTTAGCGTTCTGTTCCCTTCTTCTCCGTTCAGTTCAATACTTTCTTTCTACCTTTTATATAAATTCCTTTTCATCACAATTCAAACCCATTATTTCCGAACCCCTAACTGACTCTTCCCATGATCCCATCCACCCCTCGGTTCTTGAATTTTTGAAAGATTGCCTGAGATCTCGATAGCTTGGTCTGAAATCATGGCCCCACTGTGACACACAATGTGCTTCATCTATAGCTACAGCAGATACAGTCTTCAGATCTAGATAGAATTTATCCGTCAACAATAACGAGAAATTAAATATTTTGAGTCTAGTAATTTCTTACATTTTTCTTATAAAATCAGGTGAAATAGATAAAATGCGTCACAGTAACTAGGGAAAAATTTAGATATGAAAAAAATACGTAATTTCGATTACCTTTAATGCGAAGTTTTAATAACTCACTATTAGCACATATATACTCAGGGGTTAGGTAGAGTAAACTCAGTTCTCTGTCCTATATATTCAGTATAGTAAACTCTGTCATTAATCATTGATGCATACTAGCTGTAGTGCCCGGTGTTGACCAGGTTTATTATTATTCATAGTCATAGTTACTCTCGACGTTTACCCGCGCTTGGTAATAAATCTTATTTCCAATTTTTTAAAGCCTTTATCACCCCCCGTGATACCCATGGGTTCCTTGAAAAAAGTTGGTCATGTATAGCTTATAAATATAAAAGTATGAGCCTAGAGCGAAGAGCTTTATTATATAGATTGAATTTCCAGACAAAAAGGAAAATGAAATATTCAATTGGGGAATTAATGTCATTTAGCTCAAGAGTGACGTTTTCGATCAGGCATAATAAGATTGTTTCGATGTTTAATTACCGCTTCAAATTGGTGTTTCAAATTTGAACCGGCAGTAAATAGATCAGCGACGTAGCTCAAAGTGATTAATTAGGTCCCTAGTAAAATAAAAATAGTTACCTCCAGCATCTGAAGAACCTTGGCACAGTTAGTTTGAGCAGATCCAAGAAACTCTGCAGATATCCCAGCAGACTTAAGACCCAGCACCTGGTCCTCCATCAGGGAGATCAGGGGGGAGATCACCAGGCACACCTTGTCCTAGAACAATCAATCAATAAATAAGATAATTAATAAAATAATTGCCACTTACATTAGATTTAAGAATTTCACCCCAAAATCAAATACGAAAAATGTTCCTAAAAATGAATAATTTTTGTTTACTTTGAAAAAAAATTTAATCAGCTTGAAAACTTTGCTTCTTTTCTCTTTTCTCTCAAAACTTTCAAATTCAGCAATATAAAATACATCAAAAACTTCTTGCCACAACAAGGGGAAAACATACAATAAATTTTTGGAACTAAAAAAAATCTTAACTGACGATTTTTTCTTGTTTTCAAAACGTGTACTCAAAAAATTAGTTTTCCCAGTAATTTAATTTTTTTTTTAAATATGTATAATCCTGGTTATTTGTTGATATAAGGTTGTACCTGGTAGACAGGCTGGAACTGATAGCAGAGAGATTTCCCGTAGCCTGTCGGCATCACCACGCACTGATCCCTCCTCTCCTCTGTCACAGACTTGATGATACGCCATTGCAGGGGCTTAAACCTAGATATTCACTTACTTTTTTCTATTTTCAGAAGTCTGGCTTTTGAACTAAATATGATGCACTGCAAGTTTTTGGATATGGTAAAAAAACCAATCTTCCAAATTTCCTAACATTTATTGCTCTTTATCATTCCACACACCCACTAAAAATGCCAGTAATACTCTTCAATCTTCTGTCTTTAAATCAAAGATCAAATACTGGAATAAAATAAAATCAAAGTTGTGTTTTAAAACGCATTCAACTACATTACCAACATAAAATTAGTTCAAACCAGAAAAAAAATATTTGTAAAAAATCGAGCTTTAAAATTTCCGCAAAACTAAAGAGAAAATAGATATGAAATAATTTTCACTTGGTTTTGATGATCAATTATGATTATAAATCCATTCCAACAATGATAGGACTCATAGGGTTACCCACGGATGTGACTTCAGAGACGATCTTAAAGACATTTTTAGAGTAATTTAAAGTTTAATTTAATGTAACCCTTTATTTAAAAATAAAATGGCATTTCCGAATCATAAGGTCCCATGGAAACCTCAATCTAACCTAAAATATTGAACAAAATGCCGTTTTCTAGCTCGATAGGTGTTTACTGTTTAATTCTGAGGATAACCCAACATGTTACATAGATCGAACCGAGGACTTCATTCGTTTTTTGTGGATTTTTTAAGTTGCATTTTAATATTTCACATGCTTCATAATAGTTCAAGATCACCAACGTACTAAATGCATTTGCACAAGAAAGAAAACCACAACCTTGGAAGATAAAACATTCATTTGTGTAATACATTATCATAATGCTACACAACCGAAGCTCCGACCTTGAATGTCCAAAGTTTGAAGCTAGAAAACTGGTTTGCTCCGGGGTTGGCGGAGTTAGGTTTAGCTCCTCGAAATCATCTTTATCAGCTTTCTCTTTCAGTTCAATCGGAGCAGTGTCTTCGTCCTCTTGAACAAAGCTTGCTAGCAGCTCATCGTCATCATCATCAAAAAGCATGCTGTCATCGTCGGCCGATTTTTTCTCGTCCATTTCAGCAGCGGCGCCAGCCAAAATATCGTCATCTTCATCTGCCCCCCAATCGTCCATTCTTAAATCTGAAAACTTGAAATACATTTTTTTTTTTTTTTTTAATTTATTCACTATTGGCAGGACAAACCAAATATTACAGGTAAAGGTACTTAAACAAAGGTTTCCTTACAAATACGCCAAGAAAAAAATGACTGCCACAAAATGCGATGATGAGAGTTCTTGATCTACTTCTTGGCGAAGGAAATCTTCATTGCAGTGGTGGGTGTGATCTTGAATCCCTGGAGTGCGTCTCGAGCAGCAGCGGATTGCATTTCGTTCTCGAACTCGACGAACGCGATGTCGTGACGACCAGGAACCAATCGGACCTAAATAACGATGATAATCAATCATTAACACCTTGGCTCGGCTGTTTGTTTCCATTAAACGTAAAAAATGCTGAATCAACCAGGCCCAACGGCCAACAAGTTAGGAACAATAAATGGAAAAAAGGTCGGCAAAATAAAAGTTGTCTTTTTTATAATATACGAATTTGCAGTTACATTTAAAAGCTAAAATGATCACAAGAGAGAAGTATAGTTTAACATATTTTTGCTAATCGTTACCTCTTTGAATCCCGGGAACTGGTTGAAGAGCATACTCAACATCATCTCGTTGGTCTCCGAGGGCAGGTTTGTCAAGAAAAGAATCTGGTTTGGAGGAGCATTCTCCACTCCCTGAGTCTGCATACCAGCTCCAGCTGCTCCAACGGTAGCTCCAGACTGAAATTTATTCAATTCAGTTTTAACATTTAAAAAAATGTTGCAATTTACTGTCAGGTTTCAAGTTTCGGTTCAAAGTCTGTACTAAAACATTAGACCTTTCATGTTTAAGCAATAACATTTTTAATCATTTTTTTTATAAAAACTGAATCAATTAAAAATTGGAAAAATGAATACAGAATTGAATTTCTCAATTACAACAATTAATTCTTACCTTCCCTCCCTTCTTTCCCTTCTTCTTATCAACTGGAGCTCTCTTTGGGCGTTCTTGGAAAGTTCCCTTGATTTTAGCAATCACGTCAGAATCAGTTTTTCCATACGCGATCTTCATAGGTTTGTCGTAAAACGGGAACCCTGGAAGTAACAAAAAAATTGATTTTATTAATAACAAGACAACTATGTTGGGTGGTATTTTAGGTTGAAATGATCCCTATTTAAAGAGTTGCTTTCCCGATTCAAAACTTCATAAATCTGAAAAACTACTTTTGTTGACAAACAAAAATTTAAGATTTATAGAAAAACAAGGATTTCCCCATCATTTTTGCATGAACAAAGGGTTAAGGGCTATCATTGTGATTCAGAATGTATCTCTGTAAATTGAAAGGTATTTGAAATTCCGTAGTCAGTCCCTATAACTTTACCTTGCATTGATCTGAGTGCGTTTGTTGAGCTACTGATCTCTTTGAAGATAACAAAAGCCTGTCCGCGCATGCGCAATGTTTTGAGCGCCACGATATCCAGAATCTGCCCAAACTGGGAGAAAATGGCATACAAGGACTTTTTGAGATCCTCCTTCTTAATCTTCTCGTTGAGATTGTTGATATAGATGGTGTGGTTGGGTCGGTTCTCCATCATTTCTGAAATAAACAATTTATAGACTAGCATCACAGCATAAAGAGCAATACTTTGCTCAAAATTTATAAAAAAAATAACACAAAAATGAATGTATATCTGGCTAAGTTGGATTTTGTGCGCTGACAAAACTCAACTCAAGTACAATGTTGAACGGTATGAAATCCTCCAATTATTACTGAGCAGTGAGTATACTCATGAAAATGTATCACTTTAATAGCAGCCAATAATCTGAATCACAACGGAGTTATAGCTCTACGAACTCCTCCATGTCGTTCTCGTTCGCGATCACCTCCCAGTCATCGTTCAGGTTGTTGTAAAGCTCAAACTGATGTCCCGTATCCATCTAGAAAAATCAGGCTTTAAAAGGACTGTCAGTGTTATTTTAAGTGACCCCGATTCCCAACGGTACCTTTTAATCCCTTTCTAATCAAATATCGTCGTCTGTATAACTTGAAAAGTTTGTTTTTGATAATTTCTTTAATTTTAAGAAAAATCAGCATTGAAAGTTTTACATTTTAAAAGTTAAACATGGATGTCTCATCATACACAGAGCCTTTTTACGGGTGCCCTAGGGAATCCGACATTCCAGTTAAAATAATCAAAATCAGATTTTTATTTTACCTGAAACCATCCTACGGCATCGTAATCTATTGTATAGAGCATGGATCGGTTTGTTTTACTGGCCCAGCCTGTTGTGAGTCCAACCTTCTCCGCCCTCTCCGCCACCTCCTTCCAGCTTTCCTCCCGACCCTCCCAACTTGCAACGTCACGGAGTTTCTCTAGTCGGGGACAGTTCTGGATGAAGAAATCCGCCAACTTTGCTGTTAATCCACTGAGAAATAAATACACAACTTAAAATTAAATCTTAATTTGAGTTGAACAATTATAGCAATTTTCAAAGGCATGATAGAATCAATCAATCCAGAGTTTTAGGGACATCCTACTAACCACACGTCATGCTCAAATGAGACTGAAATATGGGCTTATAGTGTTGCGATAGGTGTTTTAACTAAAAATGAAATTATCCTAGTGTATGTTTGCTATATTACATTTATTGCTTGATTTAACCCCTATCACATGGGACACCCGACATTCTGCCAGTTCGCCGGTCATAGCTTTTAATCATCAGTTGGTATGTTCACTTCCTAGTGATTGGTCACCACCCTGCCGACATTGCATGGACTATGTTATATCTAACTTTATCATTGGATTTAATTCAATTCAGGATTTTTCACACTTGTAAGGATGGACAATCTAACATTAAGAAGGAGAAACTTTTGTTCATGACGTTATTCAATATTCGTTTCAAATTTCGAGTTAATAAACTTGCCTGTTGCTGATACAGTAAGGAGATAGGAACTCAATGGTTTTCAGAGACTCAAGGTTACATCTCAACTCACGGAGCTTTAACATCAGACTGTGTTCCGATACCTTCAACCCAGATTGGGAAGCTAGAACCTGAATATTTATTAGCAATCAGAACTTGAAACTTTTCTGTTGTTAATCCCGTTAAAATACTAATAAGTATTTTTTGTGGTTCACTCCTTTTGAGTTCATTCCTTTCAATTCTCTTGAAATAATGGACAAATCTAAATGAGAGATATTATACTAAGAAGATAAGATTAACATTACTGGACACCCTATATTAGAGGCTAGAGAGTCTTGGAAGCCTAATACTAATAAGTATTTTTTGTGGTTCACTCCTTTTGAGTTCACTCCTTTCAATTCTCTTGAAATAATGGACAAATCGAAATGAGAGATATTATACTAAGAAGATAAGATTAACATTACTGGACACCCTATATTAGAGGCTAGAGAGTCTTGAAAGCCTCCAGAACCCTGAATCACTTCATCCCTTAAATTGAAAAGTTTCCACCGAGGGCATGAATTCTGGGGCTTTACATTAATGTTATGATGCTTAGGATCCTGATCCGGTTCAGTTATATCCGTAAGAATATTAGGATCCACGGATCCTAATATTCAAGGGGCGAAATATCGACCAAAAACTCTCTAAACCCAAATCTAAACTATTGAAAAAAGAGATATTATAAAAATTTCCTAATTTCTAAACGGTTCTTCAAGTTTTAGCAAAAAAATAAGCGAACAAAAATTGAAAATTCTGCTTTGTTAAAAAATTCATTAAATCTCAAGGAAATGACATGGATCCGGATCCACTTTTATCCAGTGCGGATCCAGGATCCGGATCCGCATCAAAATTGAATGGATCCTAAGCACTGAATTGTTATCTGATAAAAGTTTAACCACAGATAAACGATGAAGACTATTGATAAGTTGATAATTTTACACCTTACCTTCAGGTTTGTAACATTTGGTCCATACTGGAATACATCCCCCAACATATTAACAATAAGATTGTCTACAGTGAGAGCAGCAAACCCTGGGTCAACCTCCAGGGCGAAGTTGGTCAGCTTAGACCAGGAGTTTGGAGAGAACCTATAAATAGAGAATAAGCATTGGAATAAGCAATGATGCATTTAAACGTTTTTTGTTTAAAAGAGCGTGCCTTTAAATTTTGAGATAAATTCTCTGGATGAAATAAAAACGAAAGATCTGAAGGGGAACCCGAAATGAAACCCCAGACTAGAATAGGACATGTACTCAATACTCATGTCTACGTAAAAATTCGATGGTGATGTGGTTCACCATGTACATTCTCCTATTCAAAAATAATTCAATAGCTCGACAAAGGTAAAATCAAATAAAGGAATCAGCAATATTTTAGTCAAAAATCTCTCAAAAAGATCTCTATTAAAACCTGCCACATATTAAAGAAATATATTTGGTTACATTACCTTGGATCAAGAGGAACCCTCCGACTAGCTCGAGCAAACATCTCTAAACTTTCAATATTTGGGAACAGGTACTGGAAGTATTCAGGCCGGATATCCGTGTCCGCCGATAAACGGCGAACCTTGGGTCCGAACTCCGCCATTCCTTTATAGAATGTTCCGTTAGCTTCCTCCGCCTCGAATGCTCTAGTTGCATGAGAAACAGTATTCTCTCCGCCTCCCATATTATGACCCTAAAAAAATAATAAAGGTGCACAATTTCTAGAAATACCCTACCCCCTTAAAAAACAAATTTTGTGGTTAGGAATTAAAAGAAAGTATAAAAAAATAAGACACCCCCCCCCCACACCCCGCTAGTGAACCAAGATGAATCTAACCTGACTGAAAAAGGCATGTTTGTGGTTGTCGATATCAACGTATGTATCAAAAAACAACTCAATCTCGACATCACTAATAAAGCATCTGTTGATATTTCGAATGATGGTTTTATAATCTGAACTTCTCCGCAGTGTCATCAGCAACTTCTTAGTTTTGACACGATATCTAAACAGAATAAAATACGAATACAGTGAGACCCATTAAACTATAAAATGGGAAGACTACTGTAATACTCGAGTTATGACTTTTTGTAGTCCATTGAACAAGGTGTTCACTTAAATTTTTAAGTTACTGGCAAAACTATTTGCTTTATAACCACATTGAATACACATAAAAACCCTTTTCATATACCTATTCTAAAATTTTATGAATCTCACTGTATAAAAATATCTTTAAATAAAATGGATTCAGTGATGTTCTTAATAAAATGTCCATGTAAAGCTTACAAGATCAGTACTGAACACCAAGTAAAATGAATTGTTCTGTCGCAAAATGAAGATTAACATTAAAAAAAATATGAAGATTGAAAATGGCCGGTTTGCTCACATTTTACTGTGACTTATTTCGACAGTTTAATATTATGAAGGCTTGTCGGTAATTCTAAGCAGGACAGGAGGGCCAGGCCTGGCAAATATTTTTCACAAATTGTTTTTTTGTGGTTACACTTTTCAATAAAACTAGTTCCTGAGCTATACTAACATGTCACATGTAAAATTATTAAAAAAAAATTTACGAAAATTAAGAAAAAATATTTAATGTTTGACTGACCTAGAATTACACCAATGAATAAAGGGACTCTCTTCAGATTCTAGTTTTAAACATTCTAGCTTCTCACAGTCAGACAACGCCTTCTGTATATCCTGAAAGAAGTATAAAATAATACAACTAAAAATAAACACAGTATGTAGTTTAGACCTCCCAAACCAGGATAGATTGTATTGCCCCAATAAAAATGTATATTTAAGAAAAGAAAAAAGAAATTATTTGCAGAAGGTCGGAACAAACTGATAAATATCATGATCAGCGGCAGTTAGTTTTTAATTTTTAAAAATATTTTCAGTCTAGGTTGACCCTCTTCAGTTCTTGAAATTTTTTTTCTGTAAGTGAAGGTTTTAAACAAACTCTTAGCTTTATCGTCTTATTTTCCAGTCGTTGAAAAAGTTACCTTAGAAACTTTGCTACTAAACGGTCTATCCCTACTGTCCAGAATAAACACACGAAGAGAATCCTTAAACTTCCTGAACCATACAGAATCCAATAACGCTCGAAAAAAAAGTGTAAAGGGATTTCCGGTTCAGAACACTTCCTTTTGCCTTTTTTTATCAAGGATGACTGTAATATCCTTATTTAGCGAGTTGATTTTTTTTATTTGTGGTTTCTCTGTATAAATGACTTGGGGGTTTGTTTTTACAACAGACACAATGAGTGAAAATAACAAGAGTTAAAATTTTTGTTAGATAGAAATGACGATATTTTCTTTATGTTCTGAGACAAGCGGTGTCCGTGTAAGAGATTAATGTTGTAAATATGGCATGGTACTTCTTAAACTGAGAGTCACGTGAAAATACGCCTACATTATCATTAAGCCATGTGTAGCTTTCCTCCCTTGGATTTAATATGTTATCTAGATTTAGTTCCTGAGAATTGTCGGGATGAACTCTAGATCCTTGGTGGCCTGGGACTGTCGTTGTCTTGAGAGAATTAACTCACGAAGGTTCACGCAGGTATCCTGAACCAATACGGGGGTAAATGAAAGTTATGTACTTTATAAACACTGCCTACATGATTTACAAGATTTAATTATATTTTCATTTGGTAAACGAAATATTTAATTGGATAATCAAATCAAATCAAATCAAATCAAATCAAATCAAATCAAATCAAATCAAATCAAATCAAATCAAATCAAATCAAATCAAATCAAATCAAATTTCCCATTTGATTGATTATTTTCCTGTATGTTCCAATCATCATAAGTTGTTGAACATTGTGCACAATTTTCAGATTCTTCATGAGTTCATGTTCAATATCCCTAGAATTAAAACTATTATGTAGTTAATTTTATTCTGATAAATATGGGAAGCGTCCAAAACAAACCCAAGAAAAAAATTGTCGAATAACAGAAGTTTTAATTGAACTAGTCTAAATCTGAAAGTCACACTTAAAAATAATCAGTTTTCAGTTTTCATGTTTCCAAATCATGTTCCTTAAAGTTGGTTATCTATATATCTAGTTTACCTAAGCTGATTAGTGATTATCTCTAAGATTAGTTTATTTAAGAAGGTTATCTCTAAGATTATATCTAAAACTAGTTTACCTAAACTGATTATCTCTAAAATTATCTCTAAGACTAGTTAACCTCAGTAGGTTACCTCTAAGATTATTTTAGTTTACCTAAGCTGGTTATCTCTAAGATTATCTCTAAGACTAGTTAACCTAAGTTGGTTACCTCTAAGATCATCTCTATTTTAGTTTACCTAAGCTGATTATCTCTAAAATTATCGCTAAGATTAGTTTACCTAAACTGATTATCTCTAAGATTAGTTTCTAAAAGCTGGTTATCTCTAAGATTATCTCTATCTTAATTGCCTAAGCTAGTTATCTCAAAGATAATCTCTAAAACTAGTTTAACTAAGCTGATTATCTCTAAGATTAGTTTATTAAAGCTGGTTATCTCTAAGATTATCTCTATGACTATTCAGCCTAAGTAGGTTTTCCATAAAATTATCTCTAAAACTAGTTTACCTAAGCTGGTTATCTCTAAGATTATCTCTAGCCCCAGCAGTATAGAATATATCTTCTAGCATGAAGTTATGATGGTAACTATCCATAAACGGAAGCATATCCAGAGAAGTAGAACTCTTACCCTAGAAAACTTAGATAAGTGACAAAATATTAATAGTTAAGCTAAATTGCTAAATTATAATAAATAACTCAGGATTTGTTTGACCCTTTCGATGTTATGCCTAGTGAAGAACTAACTTCTCTAACCCTTTACCGAGTTAAACTATCAATACTATCCCCCCCCCCCACCCTGGTATAGAAAAATGCCTTAGAGTAAAGGTATAATAATTGACCGCTCACTTTAACAGTTTGGCTGCTGGGAAGGGTTGGAAAAATGTTTTTAAAAAATTAGTTTTGTAAAAATATTAGTAAGTGGCACATGTTTTTATGTCCAATTTTCAAGAACTTTACAAAACTGTAGTTTTTGGATTTGTAGCTTAAGTCACAAAAAAAGTACCGGGCTACTATAGATTTATTTTTAACTGATCAGACTTTTTACCGCCCTGTAGCATACTCTAAGCAATAAAAAAAATATTTAACAAAAAATCCTTTAAATTGATTTTCCTCTTTTAAAGTAAAAAATTTCAAGGTGATAGTGTCAAAATTGTGAGTGCTAGGGCAAAAAAACTAGGGTAGTTGAACCTGTAGAATTCTCCAGATGAGCGGGGTTTCCTGTCTAGGTATTAAGAAATCAGGACTATGGAATCCAGAACATTCCTAGGATACAGTTTATATAGTTCAGTCATAGTTAAGGATTAACTAATTCGTTTAAATCAAATCAGACTTGTTAGGGACGTACTGCACCCACAGTGAACATGGCAAATTTGAGATGAATAATTCGATTAAAAGAACTGAACGTGTAATTTGAAGGGAACCTCCAAGCAAAGATGCAGTTCCCGATTTACAACAGTACCATTGAAACCTCAATCTGATCAAGTGTGGAAGAAAATGTACTTTTTCCGACTCGGAAACGTGTTTAATTCTAATAATTTATCCATTGTTTCTTGTAACAAGAAATTCACAAGTCACTTATGCAGAGAAACCACTAAAATAAACCTAAAGATATTTAATTCACGCATGATCAGATAAAGATTTCAAGGTTACCGTTGTAAATCATTTACCATCACTAGGTTAGATTAACAGTGTCATTTTAGTTTATTCAATAGATTTATTTATTGCAATTATCTATGGGTCCCGAGAACTAGAAAAAGAAATAATTTGTAAATGCCAAAATTCTACCTCTGGGTATGTGCAACATATTGAGTTATCATACATCTCTCTGTCCAACTTTGTCCTGCAAATAGTTTTCCATTAATATGCATTTTTTATAGGGTGGGTCCATTCACCCCCCCCCCTAGATTTTTGGGTTTCCGTGTGAATAGAAAAGTCATTTATATAAATAGGATTTAGATATATATTCCTTTATACGATCTGCCTGTCATTGAGCTACCCACTGAAAACTAGTAGGTTTATTTGATGTACTGGCCAGATTTTGAGGCAGCTAGAGCAAGCTGTGTACGGTACACACTATACATTACAATACATGCAGCTTATTGACGGTAAAACGGGACAGTACATCATTTCAGGAGATTAATTATAACACATTTTGATCGTGATAAAACTACAACTAAATATTATATTAAAGTGTTATAATAGCCTAGAATAGTAGATGGTAATGTTCACCTGTGCGCCTGTCTGTAAGTTGACCAGCGTCCTCCGAAGAGAAATCTCAATAGCTCCTGTTTCAAATGGTCCGGTAGGATGGAGAAATATCTGTACATTATAACAATTAGTTAAAGAGACAATAATAATAATTAAAAACAAATGTGAGATTTTTTTTTTCATTGATTAACTTTTAAAGATAACATTTTTGCATGTGATTTAAAGAGAGGGGATAGGTGGCAGTAAAGTTATTTGCAAAAAATCGTATAAAAAATACGTTCAGAGGCGTTTAAATGGGGGAGGGGCTGTATGAAGTCACCCCCCCCCCCTCTGGATCAGTGAAATTTAAGATTTCCAGAGGGCTTTTAAGTCCCCAACGGGTACTGCAACTCAACCCACCCCTAGAAAGAAAAACTAAAGCCCCCTCCCCCCGAACAAATTCCTTTATACGACCCCTGAATACGTTCACTGTATTTAAGGTTGAAAAATCAAGCCTCCCTCCCCTTTCAATGACAACCCTGATCACAATCACAATCATAAGATATCAACTCACTGTTCAGAAAACTATGGTTGGATAGTAAATAAGCATATATACAAGAATATAGATCGCTAATGCAGACTGTAAAGCTGAAAATTGTACAACCCCTTGTAAACCATGAACTCGTCATTTAAAAAGGTCATTGAATACTTTTTAATTCTTGGGGTAAATCTATAGAGTATTTTTTCTTTTTTATTTTGCTCTAATCCTTCAACTTTCAACTAGTCTGTCTGCAATATTTGTACCGCAACTCTTTAAATCCAATGTACTGTATGTCAATAGCTAATACCAACGCTAAATTGTCATTTTCAAATAAAGCTGAAACCCTTCGGAATGGTAAGACGACATGAGCTTGCTATGTTAAGTGACTGTCTACGGAATTTTAAGTTGCCTTTCATTTTAAATTTACATGTACAATTCACCTTGAAATCTTAGTTGCAATAACAATGAAGAACAATTCTCTAACAGAATTCTACTCTTTTTAAGAAAGAAAACGAGACATCTGCCTAATTTCGCAGATATAAGTTTGAAGGGTACAGCCGTGAATTCAAGAATTAAGCATGAAACTCTGTAATCAAATAGTTTACCTTTCAAGCTGTCTTCTAGTCCGTTCTTCACCTTTATCTTTGATACTCTTGAAACTTAAATTCCTCCGGTTCTTCTGAACAGATATCATTGAAAATACAAGAAACTTCAGGGAATTTTCATAAGATGTTTTTAAAAGAGAATTCAGGGACGAACCCTGTTTACATGAGGCATGAGGACGGAAAAAATAATTAAATGGTTTTTTACATGGTCGTTTATAATTTGCCCTGTGTTGTCGGAAACACTGTAGAATGTAAATAGATAAAAAGATAGATAGTATTTACCCCTTGAGCAGGAATATATCTGGACAACACAGCCTTCTTAGATTGCTCAAACAGGGAGACCGGTGAAGCAAGGATTTTTCGGAAACAGTATGGGCGGGCCCAGTTAGAATCTGCTCCGCCCACTGCCCCTTGGGCAGCAGGGTCCTCTACCCCGCCCTCATCTTCCTCATTTTCCATCTGAAAACAAAATATTCGCGTTTTTATCACATTTCTTTTGACCTCGTGTGACGACCATCTTTTTAAAAATATCTAAAATATACTTATTTCTGATTTTTTGTGTTTGTACATCATAACCTCTCAACGATTAAATTGAAAATATTAGCTTTGACCAAAGTATGGCTGGGGATTCTTTTTTTATTTTTCAAATCCCTGCCGCGGCATCTCCACCAAGCTCCTCCTTAGCCTTCCCTCGACCCTTCGGCATCTTCTTCATCGTGGAGTCCTCCAGCTCACGAGCCTATAACATCCCATTTTAAGATCTGCATCATCATAGTAAAGGGAGTGTTCACGAGTATATCAAATCAGATATGTGGTGAACCTAGTTTTTAATAGACGAAACCAACTGGACAGCTATCGTCCTAAATGTGTTTTTGAAACTTGTCGAAAAATGAAAACCTTTTCAGAAATACAAGTACTTTCCTTTTAAGAAATGACACATTCTCATGAAACAGAAAAGCCGAGTAGAAAAAAATTATTCTTCTAAACATTTTTCTAAAAATCTTGTTATAACAAACTAGCTCAAGATTTATTATTTTCATCCCTAAATTTGTCGATTTGACAGGGTTTACCCATCAAATTGGTAGATTTTCTCGTATTTCGCATAGGCCGGTCATGTTTCCTGATCCAAACTAGTTCTGAGAGAAACTCTGACCCAGCTTACCTTGTAATAATGCGGAGCAACTTCAAGCAGCCACTTGTTCTCTATCTCAATAGTGTTCCTCATGTACTCCTTGGTGGTAAAGACGAGCTCATGGTAGATCACCCACCTGGGCAGATCCTCAAACAAAGACGAGTTGGGGTGTATCATCACTTGTTGGTTATGTTTTACTGTCTTATAGTTTCCTCCCTAATATTCAAGGCTATAAAAGAAATTATTTTTAGGAAGAATGTTTTCTCAAAATAAGAATATGTATTTTGGAAAAATAAGATACATTTGAAGAAATATAAAAATTTCTTTACTTTCATCAAAGCGCAGCGAGGGGGGGAATAAAGTGAATTAAAACTTTATTCTACTCTTTTGTTAAAATAAGCGGTAGAAAAACTAAATACAAAAAGGCTTCAAGAAAAAGATAAAAGTATAACTTTTCAAGTTTAATTATGCCAATTCCTTGCTCATTCTCGCCGTATGGTAGAAATATCCAGCTGTTATACTTTTTCTAAAAATTAACATTACATTAAAATATTTTTTTACTAATTAGCTTTGGTATCACTATCACATCATACAGACTCTACTAAAACTGTCAGACCTATCATTTATAAGACGACAGTTCCTCTCTTTATGAAACATATGTGCTATGCAGCTTACTCTACTGTCATTTGCAGTGCACTACTAAACTTTTGAAAACTTGACCTACGTATGTGTTTTCAAGTCTTGAAGTCTTTCATTCAGGGAACATTAAACGAATTTATAGCCCACAGTGTTAGAAATAGGCACGAAAGATTGGGTTTTTAGGATCGCGATATCGAGAATAAAAGCAGATAATAAATAAAAACTACAACCAACACTTTATTAAACATGACGAGGACAACATTTCCCATTTTCTTAAAACAAAATTAAAATAGGAGATCCTTTTTTAATATTTTATTCCTTAAGAGTTTTCATGATAATACCAATGATGACTATCGTTTCTAAGAAACTAACCAAATAGCTGTTTTAACTAACCAACTAACTTGATAGCTTGATAGCTATATATGCTGTAGTATAGTATCTAACCATCTAACCTGATAGCTATAGTATCTAGTGGATTGGATGCAATCTCTATCTCTACTCTATCCAGTAAAGCTTCTAATTGATCCCTGATATCTCTGGCTCGTTTCATGCTCCTGTGCTGTATATAATTTTCATAACACCATTGACTACTAAAATCGGTCTCAGCCCACTGATTGTAAACATTTAACAGGGTTAAATGGTCTCCACCTTAAAAAAAAAATATTAGAAATAAAATCTTGATTTCTTTTTACAACATTTGATAATATTCGGCTTATATTTTTCATAGTAACTTTTACTTAAGCAAGGTGTTATTTCAAATCAAAATATATTTTACAGGGATTGCTTAAGGCTTCTTTCCTTTGGGTCAGAGTTCCAATCCCTTCCCGCAATCCGGATTTTCGGCGCGATTTTCATTTCATACTTGTTTTTGCATTTACTTTTTCGCATTAAGACATATTACTTTGGGTTAGTTCTAGAAACTCTAGTTATAAAGATGTATCACTTCAAGAAAAAAATACCTCTACACAACCCCCCCCCCCCCCTCCCCTCCCTGTTCCCCCAAATTAGTTTTTACCTGGGACAAAGAAATTCTTTCTGGCTGTATCTGCATGTATTATTTTATCCTTAGGTCGGTAGAAGATAGAAGCATTGTTGCTCAGCATACAGGAAATAGTTAAACACTCTGCAGCACACTTGTACTTCTCACTTGCCAACAGCATCTTGGACATCATAGGGTCACAGGGGAACTCAGCCATACGCCTACCCAACTTGGTCAGCTCACCCATATGATTCAAAGCACCTGGATGATGGGGTTCCATTCATATTTTAAGATAAGACAAACGACATCATCGAATATCTTAAAAGCTTAGTCTCTTCTAGATTGAATTAGATATCAAAGTTTAAGTTTCTTTTACATATTTATTTTCATTTCCGGTTTCTGTGCGAAAATGACTTGCGCATTTATTGCTTATAAGAAGCAATGGAAAAATGATCAAAAATAAACACTGTTCGGGTCAGGAAAACGACAGCTTTGTTCAGATAAAGGTTTAAGGGTACCGTTGTGAATCGGGCATTGTCATCTTTGCATAAAGGGTCACTTCAAATACGCTTACAGTCCCATTAAAGAAATCCTCAAAAAGTTTAAAAGGGAACCTTCCTAGAGCATAGAGTTGTTCTAGAGCAAGCACGAGTGTCTCATGTGGGGGAGGATCCAGGAAATCGAAGTGTATAAGGTCGTTTATCCCAAGGGATTTGAGGAGAAGGACAACGTTCCCTAAATTAACTCTCTGGATCTCTGGAACTGGATTCTCCTCTAGTTCGTGTTGGTAAGCCCAGGCGGTGTACAGTCTTAACATTCCCGCATTTAGGTTGGTCAATCATTAAAGGACCCCCACCCCACACCACCCTTTTTTTAAATAACTATTTTCCCCTTTACGTTAAAATAGGTTTTAATCTCTTAAATTGGGTATCAAATAAAGGTTAATATTTCAGCAAGTTAACAACCTATTTTTCTCCAAAGCATGTCAGTCATGAGGTAAAATCTAAAAACTTGTATCCCGGATTAATCAAACATTTTGTTCGTCATTCAAGAAGTATAAGCGATGAAGGAATGTGTATAAATTCTAGTCCATATCAAAACTATATACGGTAAAGAAATAACTAACATTTTTATACGTGAACTAGAGATAAATCCAGCCTTTAAGTTCTTTATTCTTTACAAAGCAAATATCTTTCCCCTTTTTACATAAAAATATTTCAATTGTTACATTTCAAAGTTGATTGTTAGAGCTAAATATCAATCTATTTTTCAAGTATAAACTTATCAATTGTGACTCATAAAGATTTTTTTTCACCTGAAACATTTTCCTGCTGCCACTCTTCCGGCCCTTCCAGCTCGCTGATTCGCGCTCGCCTACTCAAACCAACAAATCAAAATTTAACATCTGGTGAGAAAGAATTGTATCGTAATTTCAAGTCATCCTCCTGACAAAGATGTCAAATGTCAATGCCCGATTTAAAACGTTGCCATTGCAAGCTTTGTTTGATCAAGCATTAACTAAATCCATTTTTTTATTTGATTTAATTGTTTATTTTCATTTCTGGGTTCTCTGAAAAACTATCAGAATTTAACACTTGACGAGTATATAAAATGATTTTATTATCTATTTTTTTTATCAGATTAAGGTTTCCAGGGTACCGTTGTAAATCGGACATTGCTTTCTTTACATGCAGGGTCACTTGGAATTACGCTTTTAGTTTTTTTAAAACCACACAATTGTTACAGAAGACAACCAATAATTATTAGATTCAGATCCTACTCAGCTGAAGATAAAAGAAGATTTCTGGGTATTTATTTCAAATAATGAATGGCGGAAATGATTTTCAAAACTTTGGTGAAAAACTTTAAAAATTTTAAACTTTAAAAATCAAATGCCGAGATTTTCCTAACTAATTGTTACTTTTTACCCAAGAATTCATGCATTTGTTTCCTAAAAATCATTCGTTTTCCCATAATTCAGAGAATAAACCAAGAAAAACCCCTAGCATCTGGTTTTAAGGCAAAAACAAATTAAGATCTGATTGTTGGTTTTGTTTTCCTTAGACACTGGAGTAATGATCAAACTCTCCATCCCTGTCCTAGCATTGTAGGAGTTCTGTTTATTGAACCCTGGATCTATCACGTAGATAATATTATCTATCGTTAAACTTGTCTCAGCTATATTCGTCGCCAACACAACCTTCCTGTTACAGCATTTACTTGTTAATATTTGTGAGATAATGGTTCAGGGTAACCCACAAAGAAGGAGAATTTAATGACGACATGAAATCTTAAATGGTTTAATTTAGTCTTTGCCTTTAATTAAGTCTTATAATGGTAAACCTGATAGTTTGACAAAGAAAGGGCCAAGTCAAACTTGTAAGAAATCGCGAATGTAAGAAAAAGGAATAAATTTCTTTGAATTAATTAGTTAAGATTAGAAACTGAAATTATAGATATTAAATTAAATTTCTCTGGTTCATGTATTTTTGCTGATTAAATTATTTGATGTAGGGGGAGGGGAGGGGCTATGGGGGAAGCATTTTCAAATCTATTCTTTTGTTATTTATTCTATTATGAAGCAAAACTTTCCTAGCTCCATACGGAGTAGGTTCAAACACTTTAGCCTGCATCTCACTGGGTAGGTTGGCATATATAGGAACAACAATCAATTCTTTGATCTTAGATCCAAACTTTCTAGTCCGTTCTACCAGCAGCTCCTGGCAGGTTTCAATCTCCTCCTGTCCCGTGAGAAAAACTAATACATCACCAAGAGGTTGCGTCACGTGAATCTGAAGAACTGTCACTACGCATGCGTCAATATAATCCGCTTCCGGGGCTTTGGTGTAGTAAAGATGGACGGGAAATCTTCGGCCTGGAATTCGGAAAATTGGAGCATTGTCAAAAAATTCAGAAAATTTCTCCGCGTCCAGGGTTGCACTAGAGATGAGAAGTTTTAGATCCGGTCTAAACCTGGCAATATCCTTGATCAGACCAAACAATATATCAGTATGCAGTGTTCTCTCGTGAGCCTGAAAACAAAAATATCAAATTAATACAAAGAGATCTTCCCTTTTCTTGTAAAATAATATCATCCTCCTGTGATTTTACTATTCCAGGGACCGAATTTAATGAATCTGAGCCTGGTCGCTGAGCTACCAACCGTTGATTTAACTAATTATCTGTGGTTTTGAGCCGAATTTGATGAATTTGTGCCAGATATGGAGGCGGTTCAATTTCATATCTTCAATCAGTGATTCAGGATTTTTCCATGTCCTATAGACGATAACAACGCAATAGGGGCCTAATTTAATGATTGGGAGAGGTCGCTGAACTACCTCCGCCGGTTCAAACCATGAATCACCAATTTGGCCCGGTATGTATTTCAGCGACTTCACAAATCATTAAATTAGGTTCCTAGTGTGTAGTTATCATCTTTAGGACATGGATCCTCTCTCAGCTAAGCTTTCGTTGCAATCTGCAGTAATTTGCAGTACAGAGACCAAAGATAAAGTACACATTTAGTGGACAGTGGACTAATCCTGAATCATAGATTCAAGATTCGGGGTTGAACCGTCTCTAAACCTGGCTCAAATTCACTAGACCGGTCCCTGATTAAGATAGATATTAAGTGAATTGATAATCACGAGAGGTTGCTCTTTTTAAGGAAAGGGGGTGGGTCCACGGAACATTTCATTAGAAAACACCAAATAAAACTTTAATTGCAACAAAAAAATCTACCTCGTCAATAATCATAACGTTGTAAGACTTGAGATCAGGTTCAGAGAGAAACTCTCTGAGCAACATTCCGTCCGTCATATATTTAATCACAGTTCTTTCACTTGTACAATCCTCAAACCTGATACTGTATCCAACCTGGTTTCCTGAAAAAATATCTAATAAACAACCCAGTTTTGGATCACGAAAAAAAACTTAATCTGAATTTTTGGCCACGTCTTTATGAGATTTAAAAAAAAAAAGTTTAGAGCACGGATCTGGATCAGAAAACTTGGAACTGTAACATCTAAGGAAACGGACTCAAGAGTCCAGGAGGCCCTTATAAAAGCAGGCAACATTTATTAACTTAAACTGCTGAAAGACCAGACCAGACCTGACCCGACCAGATTTTATGACGTCTTGTTCAAAGCCATCTTGAGTCAACTACTAAATTCTATTTAAATTTGTTTCAGTATACAGTCACGATGAAGATTGAAGAACATAAAACGAGGAAACTTTTTGAGAGACAATTAAACGTATTAAATCCATAAGTATTATTTAAATATAAAATGATAAACTAATACCTAGTTTACACCCCATCTCCTCTGCTACTCTTGCAGCTACAGACATAGCAGCAACTCTTCTAGGTTGAGTACATCCAACCTTTATCCCACCTTCTGTAAACCCTGCCTCGTGAAGATACTGAGGAATCTGGGTTGTTTTACCACTTCCTGTCTCGCCCTCTATTATCAAAACCTTAAACGAAAATCAATCAATCAATCAATCAACCAATCAATCAATCATCCAATCAATCATCCAATCAATCATCCAACCAACCAACCAACCTATTTTTACGGTTTAAACCACTGTGGGGCCCGGGTTATGGGTCCTAGCCTCCCTCCTTTCTAAAAAATATCCTGTATACGCCCTTGAAGAATAGTATTTACTGACCTGATGTGCTCGAACTGCCTCTATTAGATCTTGCTTGAAGGGATAGACGGGTAAACTCTTCTTAGTTTCCTCAATACTCATTTTCTTCTTCTCATGTTCAGATAATTCCTTTGCCTCACTCTCATCCTATAGTTAAGGTTGGATTTTAATCAAGGAGGGGGCGTTGGGCGTTATTTCCGAACATTTGTGAAATCCTTGTACATTGGACTCAAAAAATCTAAAATCTCAATTTACTTTAAAATTAACTAATGAAAAGAAAACTACTTTTGATGGGTTGTATATGAAGGAGAAAAAAATCGGATAATTTAAATATTTTTTTTTGTGAACATCAAATTGTTAACAAATACATATTTATTAATTAATTAAAAAATATTTGCAATTCGATAATACAAAATAGATGGTTACATATTTATCAAAAAGATTTCTATTGACTAACCTTAGTTCCAGGCATCTTAAGAGCCTGGACAAACTCTATTTCATCGTCAAGGATATATTCGTAATCCTTCTCCTTCTCCTTGTGTCGAGCCTTGGCGTCCTTAGCTCCAAACTTCAAGGTTGCCTGCTGGAGGTGTTCCTCTTCCCATTTCCTCTGCTCATACCCAGCAGTCTAGATAAAAACATGGAATAAAATCATGGAAGATTTGCGCACTTTTTTCTTCTAAAATTGGTCAAATTTTCAATAATTAAAAGTATAGTTCCGGATATAATATTTCGAAAAATTGGTATCCTTATACCTTCTCCTTGGTATCCTCATACCTTCTCCTTGGTATCCTCATACCTTCTCCTTAGTATCCTCATACCTTCTCTTTTGTATCCTCATACCTTCTCTTTTGTATCCTCATACCTTCCCCTTGGTATCCTTATACCTTCTCCTTGGTATCCTCATACCTTCTCCTTGGTATCCTCTTACCTTCTCCTTGGCATCCTCTTACCTTCTCCTTGGCATCCTCTTACCTTCTCCTTGGTATCCTTAAACCTTCTCCTTGGCATCCTCTTACCTTCTTCTTGGTATCATCTTACCTTCTCCTTGGTATCCTCTTCTAGATAAGAGTTCAACTCTCCCTTCTCGCTGGGCATCTGATAGCGCTGGACCTTCTCCACCTCGCTAGCCTTGTCGTGCTGCTTGGCCAACTCCAAGATCTTCTTCTTGTATCTAAACAAGATTCTGTAGAGGGACTGCAGACGTAATTTCAAGTGGCTATCGCTATAAAGATCCGCCTGATAGATTCATTAAGGTAGCATTTAAACTTTTCACTGATCATGGAAAAATAAGATCCTGGATGTCAAAAATTATCTATCTAAAATTGTGGGTTCTCTTTAAAAGTGTCATCCGGATGTATGCATACAAAGATGAAAATTGTCAATTTACAGATGGAAAAACGACGATATCTTCCTGTCTGTTAATCAATTAAGGTTTAAAGGTTAAATCGTGAATCGACAACAATAAATAGAGGGTCACGTCTTCAGTACCTTAAAGGAATCATAAGTTGGAAACGAGAAAATACGAGTTTTTAAAGGTTCTAAATAATGAAATATGCTTCAGATATTGACTGTCTTCTGATCCCCTACCTCCTCTCAACCTTCTCTCGTTCTGTTAAAGATGTTTCGTCGAACAGGAACTCATCATCCATCACATCCAACTCCAGCTCCTGCAGCTTGTCAACCTTTCGCTTCGCGAGGTAGTTCCGTCGGGATTCTTTTCTTAAATCTGGAAGCATTTTCTCACGGTCCTCAGCTTCCTGAATACCAAATCAACTTAAAACCATGTCTCAAATGTCATTTTTTCCACACCCTCTATTAAATGTAAATTTTCCCACCAGGAATTATGTTTGTTTTATGCACTATTTCCCCCACCATCTATTAATAAGCATTCTTCCCCTAGGTTTTCGGTATGATTTATGTGATATATTATGAAAAAGGTAAATTTTCGGATCAAAAGTAATAAAAAAATCATTAGAAAAATGTATCAAAGTCATTATTTTCCCCCAACCCTACCCCCTATTGAAAATCGTTTTCCCCCTTATGTTTGTCATAATTCATGTTCAGTATCCAGCGATTAAAATTTCCCAGCATATTGGAGAGAACCAAATCGGGGGAGGGAAGGGGGGTTATTCATCAAGAATTTAAAGTTACCCTTGATTATCTACCTGAGCTAGGCGTTTAGCTGCCTCCTCATATGCTCTCTTGTCCGACTTAGTGACAATATTTCTCTGTTTCTCTTTATCCTTGGCAATCATTCTTTGATGGAACTCATCTCTCGCCTTCAAATCTTCCAATCTAAACCAAAACAAAATAAATTTGATACATCAAAAATAGATATGCTGATTTCTGAAACAAAACTAGTCACATTTAATGTTTTATCAATTATAAATGATAGTTTTTGCTGAAATATAATGTAATATAATGTAAATTTCACCTTTCATTCTCCATCCTATCAAACTCATCCTCACTCTCACTCTTATCCTTATCCTTCTCTTTTTTCTTCTTTTTCTTTTTCTTTTTTGGTTTGATGTTAAGATCATCCTCTGGATCTGATTCAACCAGGGCAAATCGTTTATTCTTCTGTGCCATATCTCTCGCCTCCTCTTCTTTACGTCTACAATAAAATTATAATACTAGTAATAATTATACATTCAACTGGGGAATCTTGAAAGTGGGGGGG